CACGCAAAAGGCTCTACTTAATATAGATGGTGGGATGGGAAGCATTTATTCCAGTCTCCTCTAATACAATACACAGCCCAACTCACTTCACCCTAAGTCCCCAGTCAAGTGTTAGCTTTAATAAGAGTATAGATGATTCCCGTCCAATTAAAATCAATCAAGAAACAACACACTGTGCTAGGTCCTGCCTGGCTCCTCACTGGCTGGGCCCTCTCCCAGTGAACATTTCCCTTTAGCAGGGCTCAGAGGGAAAGGAAGGCACCAATATAAACAGGAGAATGGACTGGAGTCCATGTTCTGTTACTTACTAGTGATACTGGCCTTGGGCAAGATCCTGGTCACCTCTGCCTATTTCTTTCATAAAGCCTAACTGTCCACTTCATTAGACTGTGAGAACTCAGTGAGATCATGCATGTGACAGTACAAACTAAAAGCAACAGACCCTCAAGTTACCATCATCACTCTTTCCAAAAATAATCCCCAATTTAGCCAGGATACTTTCCTACACCAGTTCCTTCCTAATGCCCACTGCCAAACTTGCTCCTTCACTCTCCCTCACAGCAGACATCTGACCCTTATCTCCTGGGCCATCTAAACCTAAACCCCTCCTCCTGGATCCCGATGAAACCCCACCCACTTGCTATGGCTTCTTGATAAGCCATCCAAAAGGCTGGTTTCCCCTTCTGAACTCTAGGACTCTGGGACCGTTCACTTGGTACTTGATCATATGTACCTATTACTATTAATTCGCTCTTTGCATTTGTGCAATTTAGACTGCAACTTAATGGTGCTTTCTTCTGTGGCCATATTTAGAACAAAAGCAAATACTCCCAAACAAACAATATTACAAACAACAGGTAGGTTCTGTGGCCAGTCCACAAAATCCCATTTCAACAATACATGCCAGTATGGTTCTCCTAACAAAGGCTTTATGCAAAACTCACTCAGAGCAGTTCAATGTGGGATTTAAGGCTTAACAAATCTCGTGGTAAATCTATCTTCCTCACCTAGCTCAGCCTGTTCTGGAGTTAACAGTGGCAAAGAAAAAAAAAATCCTTTTTGTTGTTGTTGCTTTCTCTTCTTTGACACTGATTAACAGAGTAAGAAGACCGAATATCAGGAAAACAACAGGCAAGCAAAAACCAGTGATATCTGCTATTGGAAATGGCAGGCAGAGGTGTTCAGAAAACCTTGTCCTCTCTGGGTCAGAGGTGAGTGCCCTGTGTGGCAGGAACCGGGCAGAAAGCTGGCAGTCTTACTTAGAACCATCCCTCACTGCTGAGGCCCATGGAGGAAAGGGGGCAGGCACAGGCAAGCTTCAACCCTGGGTTATGACCCGTGGGCCCCACTTCACCAAAGTCCAAGCCTGACAGCATTACTCCTGAGGCCCTAAGATCTGGGACCACTGACAGAATGACTGGCACAGCTTCTGTGCTCACAGCATTTATGTGCTCAGGTGATGTTAAAGTTAAGGGTGGGTCTGTATTTTTAAGGGAATTTTAAGGCAACGCCTTTATGAAGAGCTATAAGCCACTGTCATTTCAGAGTAAGATATTGAGGAAAAAAATGGTTTTCTTTGTCATCAACCCAATCCCACCCAAGTAAGAGAAGCTTCCTAGTTCAGTCTCAAAGTTTCCTCAATGCTCCACAAGCTGACATATTTAAGGCAAACAAAGGGACATTTCCAGACATGGATTCTGTCCAAGCCTTGACCAAAGAAAGGGATTTCTGCTCTCTTGACGCTCCCAATACAGCAGAGTCAAGTGCCTCGATAACCCGAATGTCTGAGTGATACTTGCTCAAATGTAACTCAAATTTTATTGAGTCAAAATGCAGGATGGGGTTAGGGTAAGAATTATCTGGAGCTGTTGTTTCTCTGAACTTTACTCAATAAAAATCAAACTTTCTCCTTTGTAAAGAAGGATGAACTGGCTCCATAGATCTATTATATTTAAATACTCTAGTTCCTCCTATATTCATCTGTTACTCACCGTCAACCTGATGGTAAGGCTGGGGCTAAAATGCTGACTGAGATATAGGCCCAGACAGAGGGCAAAAATGTTACCCAGGGTTTGGGACCACTGGCGCAGAAAGCCCAGAGCTCACTAAATGCTATCTGACCATACACATTTAGCTGTGGACAAGAATTTACCCAAGCCTGGAAGCTCTAACCACAACTCATTAGTTCTGTACTCTGAATATGCAAAGATTCTTTGGGGCCAGACCTCAGAGAGGTCATCTGCTGCAGGGAGGGTCTCTAACTTGAGTCCCTGGCAGCCTCCGCGGCCAAGAGCAGAGAGTAGTTTGCGTCCCGTCCAGAAAGTTCCATGAAACAAATAAACCATGGGGCCAAACAGGCTAAAAAGTCTCAGTTCGAATGAACAAGAGTCTTAGCTCACTCTATCTATGGTACCCTTATTTTTGGAGTAAGAAGATTAATCAGACTGCCCAACCTATAATCAGGGTTGGCTGTGAGGAACAGATAATGAAAGAACTCGAGGCACTTGGGGCTTCACAAAGGGGTATGTTATTGCTAAACACCATTTCTAGCACTGACTGCCTAAGAGGTTGGAAATGGCTCCCATTTTCTGTTTTTCCCCATTCCTACTCTCCTAGGCCTCTGGATGACTGCAAGAAAAAGAAAAAGAAAAAGAATAATGGAAGAAGAAAAAGAAAAAGAAGAAAAAGAGTATTGCTAACAGCAAATAAAGAGAGGAGTGGGACCCACACATAACTAAGAATTATGCTTTGTTGGTTGCTTTCTTTTTCCCTAGTAAAGTTTTTGTTGCCCTGTTCAGAATAAATGGTTATGGGACTGATCCCATTTATTATGTGGACATTATCAAGGACACGATCTTCTTGGTATTAAAGAACCATGGACCTTCAAAGGTGAATACTTTGCTCCCTAGAGCCTGGAAGACTCGACCCTACTGGAACCAAAATAAAAGTTCAAGTTAATTTTCATCCATATGACCTTTAATGATTTTTTAGCTACTTTCCAAACAACATTCCAAAAAATAAAAAATAAAAAATAAAATAAAATGAAATAAAATAAAATAATCATACTAAGTTAAACATTGAAGAAGGGGGAAAAAAAGTCTGAGAAGTAGGGGGAAATGTCTGGTTACAAAAGTGAAATTTAGGAGTGCCTGGCTGGCTCAGTCAGAACCTGCAACTCTTGATCTTGGGATCGTGACTTTAAGCCCCATGTTGAGTGTAGAGATCACTTAATAAAATTTTTAAAAAGGGGAGGGGGTGCCTGGCTGGCTCAATCAGTAGAGCACTCAATTCTTGATCTCAGGGTTGTGAGTTCAAGCCCCACATAGGGCGTGGAGCCTACTTAAAAAAATAAATTCAAAAAATGAACAAAACAATAAATAGGAAAACCAAAACCAAAACCAAAAACTATATTTAAAGGTGCATATCATGGTAATTCTATCCTAGGTTCTCACACAGGCTCACTTCAAAAAACAAGTCAAGGGGCGCCTGGGAGGCTCAGTTAAGCATCCAATTTCCACTCAGGTCATGATCTCACAGTTAGTGAGTTCAAGCCCCGCATCAGGCTCTGTGCTGACAGCTCAGAATGTGGAGCCTGCTTCAGATTCAGTGTCTCCCTCTCTCTGCACCTCCCTGGCTTACTCTCTCTCTCTCTCAAAAATAAACATTAAAAAAAATAATAAAAAAAAATCAAAATGCAATAAATGAGGGGTCTTACATCCCCTCCACACGAGCCCAACTGCCCCAACTCCTACCCTATATACCACTTGTGAGGCAGCCATCATGGGCTGGAACAGAAGCTCAAGTTTAGCTTGAGTTTAGTTCTCTAGTTTAGCTTGACCCACAAACTCTCAAAGATGAGGTAACAAGACCTGCATCTTGGGAAACAAAGCACACAGACAAAACTCACTACAGATGAGATAGGGCTTGCCTCACTATCTTTTAAAGGGCTCTGTTCTTGAACGTAGGAATGCGAGAGAGAAAACTCTGTGCCTTCACCCAGGCTCAAGAGGCAATTCTGTTGGCAGGCTAATAATAGAGCAAGGTACAACCTTAGCCCCTTGCCTGTGGTCAGAGGTGTGTGGGTCGGTCTGCATACAGACCCATGCGGCTGTCAAGTTACAGGGTGGAGCTCAAGTTAAAAATAAGGCTTTCTGGCAGCCCTGCCAACCACCAGCATCATATTTTCCTGGTGATGTCACTACAGATGTGGGACTCTATCCCTGGGCGTCAGTTTTTGGCTCTGTCCCACCACCACCTATGGAACTACATGTGTTCTGGTACAATATAGCATCTATTTTCAAACCAAGGCGAGACAAAACCTGTTGGATCAGTTACAGTGACTGGTTTATGGTTCATAAACAAAAGTCACATCACAGAAAGCCAGAGTAGCTCTGAGAAACAAAATGGGAAGAGAATTTTCACTGTAGGCTGACAATTCCCCTGCCCAAAAAGGCACAGTGAATTCATCAGAAGCTGAGTTTCCAAGATGACAAAACACCAGCCTCTCCTTCCACCCCCAAAATATGAAGTATGCAGGGAAGAAAGCAAAAAACATCAAAGACTACTGAATTCAATTCCTGCCACCTTGTAACAGCAGCTCAGATTTTCCAGAGAATCAATAAGAAACAGATTTAAAATTATTCCATGATCTTGTGGGATACAGATTCATCCTGGAGCCAGTGCCTACGTCTGGCCCTTCCATTTCCAGTGCTGTGCCCAGTTTAACAGGGGACACCAGCCAAGATCTTTCAGACCAAGGGTAGTAACCTCACAAATTACCAGAAGGAGGCTGCTTTATTACAGTTCAAAAATATCACCCAGACTCACAATGGTACACAGGAGCTTTTCCCAACATACTCATCTCACCTATCCAGATTCTCGTTCTCAAAAATATTAGTCATTAACTGCAAAATTCATCAGAAAACACAAGTCCACACTTGATTTTTCAAAAACATTTTCCGGCCTATGATGCAAAGTCACTTAATAACATTCCCACTTACCAGCCTCTCTCCAGAGAGAACTTCCAGTAGCTTGATGAGCATCCGTCCATCTCGAAGGTCAGTGTACAGGTCTGTGATCCGGCAGGACACCCGGGCGAGGTGGGAATTGACCCACTTGGTGAAGGTCTTCTTCTGCACAGCTTCACGCTCATCTGCAAGCAGAAGAGAGCTCGTTTTACCATCAATCACAGCATGGCAACAGCAGCTTTGTGCTAGCAGCGTCACAAGAGCCCAGTCAAAGGAAGAACAGGAAAACTCAACTCTAACTGAAACTGCTACTTAGCTTCTCTGAAGCATGATAAACGCTTGAGGAATGTAAGAATCATACAATCCTTGAACATCTGAGCCCCTATGTGTACCACCAGCAGAATATTCTTGCTCTCATTCATTTCATTTTCTCTCATCTCTGTTGAAGAGTCAAGAGGATACAGCAGATCACAGTGGGGTCCTGTGCAGCCCTGCCCCGTAGCATAACATTTGGTAAAGTTTCTAATGTGTATGTTACAACTACTATTGTTCCTTCAAAACGTGAGTATTAGGGAAGCACACAGTACAGGGAGGGACATGGGGTAAAAAAGCTAAAGCAAGAAATTGCTTCTCTCATATACAAAGGATCAGAAGATAAGGGGTGCCTGGGTGGCTTAGTCGGTTAAGCGTCCGAATCTTGGTTTCGGCTCAGGCCATGATCTCACGGTTCATGGGATAGAGCCCTGCATTGGGCTCCAGGCTGACAGCATGGAGCTTGCTGGGGATCCATTCTCTTCCTCTCTGTCTGCCCCTTCCCCACTCATGCTCTCTCACTTTTTTAAAAATTTTTTTAATGTTTGTTTATTTTTGAGAGAGACAGAGACAGAATGTGAGTGGGTTGGGGCAGAGAGGGAGGGAGGCACAGAATCTGAAGCAGGCTCCAGGTTCCGAGATGTCAGCACAGAGTCTGACAAGGGGCTCAAACTCACGAGCTGTGAGATCATGACCTGAGCCGAAGTCGGATACTCAACCGACTGAGCCACCCAGGTGCCTCAAATGCTCTCTCACTCTTAAAATTAAAATAAACTTAAAAAAAAAAAAAAAAAAAAAAAAAGACAAATTCACTCATGACCTTGATCTGCAATGACCCTCTCACCTGCTAAATCACACACCCATGAACAACAGAGAAAATGGCAGTCAATGTGGTAAGGTACAAAGAGATCTGGCCAGGCACTGGGAGAGCAGGGCCTGGGCCCAAGGTTTCACCAAAAATGTGCTGAGATACTGTGTTCAGTGCCCCCTTCTATAAGAGGAGTGGACAGCTGTAATCTCCAAACTACAACCATTAGTTGAAAAGGCAACTGCTAGGGGCACCTGAGTGGCTCAGTCAGTTGAGTATCCAATTCATGATTTCCGCTCAGGTTATGATCTCATGGTTCCTGGGATGGAGCCCCACAACGGGTTCTGTGTTTATGACACAGGGCCTGCTTGGGATTCTCCCTCTCTTGGGATTCTGCCTCTCCCTCTCTCTTTGCTCCTCCCCCTACTCATGAGTACACATACATTCTCTCTCTCTCTGAAAATAATAAACGTTAAAAAAAAAAAAAAAAGGCAACTGCTAGTTTATGGTCTAAAGTGTAGTAGTAGTACATCCAAGTCATCTAGGAAACAACACTAAGTTTTTCAAGCCTCAGTGATCAAGTTTTGTCCAATTCAAAGCCTAAAACTCTAGACATATCAGCCCAACAGGCTGTTGAAACCTTCAACAGAGATCCACATAACATGCCCTGTACACATTCATATTCACTGACTGTTTTCTATAGAGATACCCTTTTGCCAGTTACTCACCCCACTTCTGGTTCTGTAGCATAAATTTGCGTCAAAAGGACCCAAGATCTACTCCCTCCAGTGTAAGCCCTAACCCACCAAGATGTCTATGCATTAATCTACAAAAAAGGGAGCAGACCCCAATAATTTTTATGTATTTCGCCACCACTTGGTGACAACTAAAAAGCCACCCTTGTGGACAAGGGCATGTATCTGGTGGTCTGGAGATACTGGGTTCCCGGCCTGGCCGGAATATCCCGGGAGTCTGCCTGGAAGGCTTTGCTGAGGCCTCCAGCCATCCCTCCACAGGAAGGGGGCCAGGCAGAGACAACACAGGACAAGCCTATATTGCTGCCAGCCTGGCAGGTGAGGCGGCTGGCCACCTGCTGCAATGAGCAGCTCCTCCCTGCCCAGCCTTTCCCTAAAGGAACAGTCCGTCCAGCAGAAAAGAGGGCCTTTTTAAGGGACAAAAGCCAAACCAAAAGAAAGGATCAGAAAGGGCAGGATTGGGGGAACAAGAAAACGGTAGTAAGGGGCACAGTTGCAGATGAAAAAGGAGTTGTACCAATAACATCATGATAGGTCACACAGAGAAGATCACATGCATTATTAATCACACAATCATCATGATGGATGGCAACTTCAAGACACTGACACAGGGAGCTGTATTTTTTTGCCAAAGGTTGGCTGTTTTGAAGAGGAAGTCCAAAGCAGAATACATAGACATTAAGTACATTTCAGAGATGGCAAGTAACTCCTGGTTCAGACGTATTTAGGGACAGCTAATTTTTCAAAAAATTCTAATACATTTTATGTGCTACACTGGAGTTAAAAATGTCTTTAATAAAGCCCTTGATGGGTTTCGAAGCTGTTATTCAAGGGTTTGGGCTCAAAGTCACTACCACACCCAACCTATCAAGGGAACAAGATCAAAATGAAAACCTGCTTAGATTATGGTATTTCTAAATAAACAAGCACAAAGGTGTTCCTCAGCCAACTGTCACTCTTTTAGATAAATCTCACATTACAAAAATACTCCTGGCTTCCTTCAGGTTCTGAATTCACAGGTTCCCTTACAAACAAGGAGATTCGAAGGATTTGCTTCTCAAGACAGTAAGTACACTCCCTCACTACCCAGTTCTGGGAGTTATAGTCGAACCCAGACCCTCCTCCCCCTGAAGTGGGCAGAGAGGTCATAGGTGGGGCAGAGAACTGAATGGAAATAAAACAGGCTGAGGATCTGTGTGAGGAGGGCTACTTCCATCCCCAGAAACTCCAGGAAGGAGGGGGAAAAGAAGATGAAGAGAACTTAAACAAAAACAAAAGGAAAAGAACAAGCCCTTGCTTTCTTGTCCTCACTCCTGTTTCCTCTTTCTACTCTCCCCACACAGCTAAAGAGCAGGCCCCAGATCACGTAAGTGTGCTGAAGAGTCACATAAAGCCTAAGTTCCTCTGGCTTGCGCCACTGCTCTGGAAAAGACATGGAAGATTCCATCCAAGGACTGGACCACAACCAACACTCTTATGACACACGAGGGGCAGGAAACGGGCTCAGCAGTGAGACACAAAGTCCAGTCAGCTTAGTGTGTCTTCTGACAATGGAGGGCCTGGTGAACAACAAACACTTCTGAGGCCGGAAGGAGGGAAAGGGAAGGAAAGAAATCTACCCAGCAGCCTAGCTGAGGATGAGGCTGTGTGTCCTTGGGGACCCCGTCCTTTGTTCCACCCTTCCTGGGAAGGCACAATGACATCACCCCTGCACTCACAACCCAACGAGACAGGGGCAGATTAAGCCAGATGCCTGCTTGAGGAGGAGCAGGAGGCCCTTGGCACAGATGATGGAAGACAGTCCAGAGGCGTGTTTCCAAGCTCAAGCTGCTGTCACTGTGCCAGAACTGTGTGAGAAAGTGGTGGGAATAGCTAAGAAATGAGAGACCATTTCAGCTCTACGGGTATGAGGCAAATCTGGTACCATGAAAAGGGAGCCCTTGCAAACTCCATATTGATTTGGTTATTTAGAGCAGTAGTTCTCAATTCCCCAAGGGACATTTAGCAATGTCTGAAGACATTGTCCCGCCCAGGGGTGGGTGCTACACTGGCAACTAGTGAGTAGAGGCCAGGGATCCTGGTAAGCATCCTACAGTGCACAGGACAGCACCCACAACAGCAATCATCCAGCTCAAAATGTCAGTAGTATCCAGGTTGGGAAATCCTGGTGTACACATTCTGGTCTTCTGCCAAAAGGAGTTGGCATTTGTAGTGTCTCAGACTGCACTCCCCAGAGAGACACCTGACTTGGGGTGCTGTTCATTTCACTATTCTCTTAGCCTACACCCAAGGTTTTATGAGCCCGATGGTCTGCATGTTGGCCGCAGCAGGAGAAATTCTCTACCCTCAACCCCACTCATTCCACAAAGCTCTTGCTTACTGCTTCCTTGTAAGAAAGAGCAGCAGCAGCAGCAGCAGCAGCAGCAGCTGTGTCTGCCTCCAGGACAACCAAAGGGTAGGGCCCAGTGTGACACTGGGCATTTCTGTACCCCAAGCCATTTCTGTTCTCCTTGTACCTTTTTAGGACCTTGTAGTGCTGTTAACCAAGCCAAATCATGCCTGCATCTGCTGATGTCTGAGCCTGACACTGGGGCAGGTTTAGTGCCCCCCACCCGCCCTAGCCCTGCCCATAACCTGGTAAGTGCTGCCTCCAAGGAACAGGCACTTCCATAGCTCTGTTCCCAGTGAGTGTCTCTCAGGTATTTGTTCATCCCCCTCCCACCCCCACCATTTATTTATTTAGAGGGACTGACCTAAGGTCGCTCCAGCATTAGATGAGAGGAGGTCAAGTGCACAGCAAAGTGCCAGGCTTGTAACTATCAGCTTCTTCTGCACTGCCCCAGTACAGCAGCACTCTCATTAGTTCAAACCATCTGAGATCCAGTATCATGGAGCCATATGCTCTCAGGGTAGAACAAGGCTTTGAAAGTTATCTAAAACAACACTCTTTTTTAAAAGCAAAAAATTCCCTTCTACCACACCTGGGCCAGCTATTTAAAAATCTCGGGAAGGGCGGGGGGAACTTTGTATGTGTACATGGCAAGAGGTTAACAGTCATACAGAAGAAAACAGCTTCTTTCCTTTTTATTAAAAAAATAATAGCATTAATGTGACTTCCTGTGTCCCAGGTACCTATCTACATGCTTTACAATCCTTGTAATCCCTCTATGAGGTAGAATTAGTAACTTTCCAGATGGGCTGGCTCTAAAGCCTGGGTTTTCAATCATGTAATAATGCCTCTAGCACAACATTAAAACAAAAACAAACGTGTCCATGATACAAGATGTAGAATCACCCACCATCTCACCAT